CCGTCTAGACTATGATCACAAACTGCAGACTTACTGGAACATTGGTGTTACACGTCAAAAGAACACATAGCTGATCGGGACGTTAATCACCTCAGTCCCGCGGAACCATGGGTGGGGTAAAGCACCCGAAACGTCGGGAATTTTATAAAAAAAAAATAAGTTAATTAAACGCGATAGAATCTGTAAAAGTAGTTTTATTCAAGTGTTTTATATTTTTAAAACCTTTTATAATAAAATAAATAAAAACAAAGTGTTAAGAAAATTCTGTTGAAAAGGTTTAGTATGAAATATATCAATATATTGAGGACAATGATGTACGTTAATCTGTACCTACTTCATTAGGCGGAATCGTAGTGTAGCACTAAATACAAGAAACCCACAAGTCTACTGATATATTGTTGTAATTGATATTTAAAAAATATTATTATACATTTTCGAAATTGCATTGATGGATTTTAAGTTGTAAACAAAATTGTAACATGACATTTAAAAAACAAAAGAGTTTCATGCCGGTTCTTCTCTGAGTCGATTTTGTTTTCGTTAACCGGTGTAGACATTAACGTTTTTAATACAAACCTTATTGTAATAAAAAGTTTTGACTATAACATTGAAACCTCATAATAGTTAACTTGAGTATGGTCAGTGTTCACGCCTCACATACATTTACTCGTATCAAAGCCGGGGGGCACACGCTGATATAAATAAATACCGAAGCGATTTGTATCTAGTAACTTACTATCAATATGGAATAAATTAAAAAATTAAGTGTAATTTCATGTAATTTTGCCCGTTTTTCGCAGTACATGGTGATTAATGAGATAATTAAAGATTATAATATGGACGATTTTATCTGTTTTTGATTGTATCTTTTAATACAACACATATAAAGGAGGGTTTGTATCTTTTAATACAACACAATAATAAATAGTGATTATGGTGAAGCAGTTAGTATAGTGTGTTAGTGGGTCTTTTGCTTAAAACTGAAGTTAATTGGACACATCATATTCGAGATTTAGGCGTCAAACAGACGCAATGATTGGTATGTAGAAATGTTTCTATTTTATTCGGATTCAAGTGTGAGTGGACGTACTCAAGTTTGATCTACTTTATTTAAGGAAATAAATCATTAATGGAGATAGGCTAGCTCTATATTTTTCTACCGACTTCAAAAATGAGGAGGTACTCAATTCGATTGTTTTTTTATGTGTGCTACCTCATAACTTTTTTCTGGGAGAACCGATTTCGATGGTTCTTTTTTTATTTGCAAGCTGGTGCTTCACATGTGGTCCCATATAAATTTTATTCAGTTATGACCAATAGTTTTTGAGTTATTCTTAATAATTTATATTGAAGTCGGTTGTATATGGTTCGGTATGTAGTTTTTTTATTTTATATTATTTAATTCAAGTTTTAAATGACAGAAATTAATTTAGTCGCACTCCGAGTAGAGCTCGAAATCCATAACATCTTTGATTTGTAAGCTGCATGCTGCTTCTGCTGCATTCTGCATTCTGCTGAAGGGTTCCGTACCATAGTAAAACACGTTTCTAGTAGGGGAGCCCCCTTTAATTGTTAATTCATTTTATTTTTATTTATTTTTTTGTAAAATATTCAATAGTCTACGATGGACGAATGGGCGGACGGACGAACGGACGGACGGACGGACGGAGGGATAGATGTACGGACAGCGGAGGCTTAGTCATAGGGTCCCGTTGCTTACCCTTCGAGTACGGAATTCTAAATCAATATATTTCTAGATTAGCTCGAAACTTAGCTTTATGTGACGATATATTATGGCGTCCATTAAACACATACCATGAACGATTTTCTTTCATAAGAATAATAGTAACGCTATTCACATCATAAATAAGATCCTTTTTACTGGAAGGGAGGCATACGTGGTAAAGTCATTTTGCAGCTATATTAGTAGTATAGTTGTAGCACGTATGGGTCGGCTCGACCACGCTCTCACAGTGAATGTATGGTGAGTGTAGAACACCTGAGACCCTTTTTACTGTAAAAGAGGCATTCCATCTTAGTCCTCACAGGTGACAACGCATCTGCATTTTGATTCTCTATTGAGGATAGATGCAGATGTCTATGGGCCACAGCAACCACTTACCATCAGGTGGACTGTGTGCTCGCATGTCAACCTTATAACAGTAGTTGAACAAAGTAGTCGAATGGCGGATTACCCTCGACTTTACGAGTTTGCATTCCGAATATTACAAAGTCGCTTAAATGTTTGTCAATATGACGTCTAATTTATACAAAGAGTATATTTGTATTTGTAACTAATCGTTTAACACAAAATTTATTTGATGGATCACCATGAGAAGGTTTCTAAAAAAAAAAAAACAACGTTTATTTTTTTAGAAACAAACAAACTTTAAACATTTTGATTTTATTCGCTTTTTTTCAATTAAGCGCGGCAATTAATATATTAAATTACAAACGCTAAAGTAAAAATAAAAACCTTGCTGAACATAACCTATGATATAAACTTGTAGGACGTCTGCCGGATTCAGCTATTCTCCTTAAATAATTTAGATCTTTGACTGTGTTTATTGTTCTGATAGCAGTTAAAGTATTTCTTACTTACGTACAACACCATAAAAGTCCACTGTTGGAGATGGGCATCTCCCGTTGTAGGGAGAATTTGCCTTGATTGTCACCTTTGCCAGACGGTTTGGCTATCACTGAACCAGACACCAGCCTTTGACCCCGCTCCCAGACACCGGTCTGGATATTTTGCGGCAGGAGTGAACGGAGTGGTTATACCGTAATTTATCACAAACCCTCATAAGTAAGCATATTAGAGCTCGTACGCCGTGTACGTATATATAGAAGAAAATCATCGTCAAGAAATTTGTATGGCTCAACGTAAGTATAATAAACCTAGCAAGCTAACAGCATAGCAAAGTGGCGAAGCAATCAGCTTTGTAGCGGTTTCTAACGGTTGCCGTTGAGCAATCAGTTTCAAAATAGGAGGTTCAGATGCCTGGGTGATCAGTAATCGATTGCCTAAAACAGAATTTGAAAATTCGAAAGTGTTCTCGAGATAATCGTGGGACAGACGGACAGACGGACAGACGGACAGACGGATAGACGGACAGACATCGTGAAATCAATAAGTGACTTCGCAAGCTTCGCCACTTAATAATTGTGCATATGTAAAGGCCGTCTTGTAGTGTGTGTAGATACTAAGAATTTATTATTTTTTCGATTTTGTTTTTTTCTTTACGATATATATTTACTAACTTTTACCCGCGACTTCGTCCGCGTAGAACATTTAATTTATAATAGTGGCCTTTATGTTCTCTATTAGTGGTGTATTAACTTTTGCTATTATGTCAAGAGCTATGTCCGTTATGGTAAAATATTAATTTCCTTCACGTAAAGCAGGTATCGTTTGTACCTTATCATTTACCACATTGGAGATTTCTTATAAAATGGTGATGAAATAAAAAAAAATGTTAAAAATCGATTTTGTATGAAACTGCGAGAGAAAGCATAAAGGGTTAGTGTAAAATTACAAACTATAGTTCGAGACTTTTTTTACTATCACGTATAGTTTATGAGATAATCATCAAAAATCATTAATTTATCACATTTTCGATTTCACTAAAAATCTTGCATGAATTTTAGGTAAAATATAGATCACTCCTGTTATTACTCTATCTGTTAGTTAAGTTTCATCATAAACGATTCAGCCGTTCCGAAAATTTACTCGGACAAACACAGAAGTTTTTTTTAAATTGTTTTTAATGTCTTAATAGTATAAAATAACCCCTTGAGCTTAGTAGAAGCCAGTTATTTCGTTATACATACAGACATTACAATATTATTAATATTTGTAGATGTATAGACATAACCCAAGTTTTTTCTTTTGATATAAGTTTTACATGGTTCCATTAAGGAATCTCTGCAAGGTACATATTTTAATAGCAAGTTAGTATCATTATTAGAATTTTTTTCTTGTGATAATTATTATGATTTAAACGGCATTTTCCGTGTGTTCCATATATATAAAATAACCTCTGGTATATATTTAAGTAGATTATAATTTTTTCAAAAAAGTTATAAACTAGGTACTACAACGTCGCCTTAAGTTTTCAGCGCTAGACCCACATAACGGTTATTCGAAGAATCTTTTGCATATTCTACAAATTTTACCGATATGAAAATATATTTAACTAGCTGTTCACCGCGACTTCGCCCGCGTGTAATTTAGGGTTTTGAATTTTTTGCGCGGAACCCTAATTCTTTTTCTAAAATAAAAGTAGCCTAAGTTACTTCTTATAACATCAACTATCTGCCAGTGAAAGTCAAAATCGGTCCATCTATTTCGGAGATTAGCCGGAACAAACAGACAGACAGACAGACACAAAAATTTTAAAAATTATGTTTTGTTATAAGTACCGTATACACTTTCATACGAATGTAGTAAAGAGCTGTTATTTTGACATTACAAACAGACACTTAATTTTTATTTATTTGTATAGATTATATTATTTTGTAGCACCGATAGCTGTAAGGGTTATACTATAATATTTATTACTTCAATCATCGCAACTGTACCTTTAATTTCCTACCAGAAATGTATTGTCTGTCTGTGTATGTATAGTTGTATGACGCAAAGACATAATCCAGTTTTCGCTTTATAAATTACGATTACAAACATATTTTTTACAATTCTCACATTATATTATTAAAAGCTTTTACAAAAATTTACTTTGCAAATATCCGCGTTATAAAATAAAATGATGTGTCTTACCTAGTATGAAAAGCACCTCCCGCCCTCCCTCATGCTCTTCATACTAGGTGCGAGGTGCTCTTCATACTAGGTAAGACACATCATTTTATTTTATAACGCGGATATTTGCAAAGTAAATTTTTGTAAAAGCTTTTATATAATGGATTTCCGCAAAGTAACGCCTGATTCTATTAATTATATTATATTATTAATATCACATTATCTAGGTAATAAAAGAATACGTATGTTTATTCTAGGAAAGCTATTCTTCCTGGCCCTCCTGGCCTTAGCTCACGGAATGCCCTGGGACGAGAATGTTCCTAAGATCGTAGAATTGGATTTTAATAACCAAGAGAGACGAGTGCCCGATGAACGGTGTCCTACAAGCCAGTCACACTACCTCGTTCCGCATGAATACGACTGCACTAAGTTTTACTACTGTGAATACGGTATGAGATGGGAGACAGCAAGAGACTGCGCCTTGGGGACCGAGTTCTCCTGCACCCTTCAAGTAAGTTCATTTAAAACACGGTTTTCACGGCACTGTTCTTTTAACAATATCATCCGAAGAGCTCTTGTCTCTATAAATGTTCCCTCGGTTTTAGAGCATTGTGGAATATTTAGAGACGATGTCAGGAGACCTGACGGTATGACATTGGTCCCTTGGGATAGGGGTAAAGCCCTAGTGTGGGGTGCTACTTGCGTAGACACTTTCGCGACCTCTCATCTCAGGGGTACCTGGTTTAGAGCCGAGCTGCTGAACTGAGTAAGTGGCGCAAATATAAGTCTCTGAGAGATGATTATTAATACATATTTGTGCCATTTGACTATCGGTCCGTGGGGTCCACATGCGATGAAGATCCGCGGCTGGTCGTTGGCGCTGGTGATACGAGAGCTGACTCTTTTCTCATTCAGAGTCTAAGTATAGCCATTCAGCGGGGAAACACAGCCAGCGTTCTTGACACGATACCGCGGGGAGTAGGGCTGTTTGATAATTAAATTACTAGTTTTAGTTTTTTTTTTAATTATAATTTTTAAAACTGCACAAACTATAAATATAACTTGTAATACCCCCTTTTTACCGACTTTGAAAAGATTTCGAATTCGATTGTTTGTTCTCATTTACCTACTGTATGTATGGTTGCGGCGAAATATTCGCAAATTGAATCAAATCAAATTAGCTATACTTTAGAGGTGGTATCATTTATATTTGAATAAAAATTCCACCCCCAAGGTAGGGTAAAATTGGGGATGAATTTGTTAAAGCTTCGTATTTGGATCTTATTAATGTGTTGTTATTAACATTTAAGACAATAAAAGACCATTTATTTTATCAATTATCTTTTTTTTCTATATTAAAAATTAAAGCTTTTCGCATAAAATATAGTCTAAATGCTTCCAGGCATTGCTCTCTATCTGTTCTTAAGCTTTCGTCACAGTGTGTTCAGCCATTCCGAATATTAGCTCAGACAGACAGACAATATTTAAAAAATAGTTATTTTTGTCTGAATTGCATGCAAATAACCCCCTGAGCTTATTATATTCAAGTAAATTTTTTAACACCCATATTTTTCAATAGGTTTGCATCCATCCCACACTGGCAAATTGTACACTACCCGGATCACCGCCGCCCCCTACAGAAGAAACTACGACAAGCAACGCTCCAACTACAACGTCCACAACAACCACACTAGCGCCAACTTCAACCACTGATGCACCTACAACAACTACTACCACAACAACAACTACTGAAGAACCAACAACAACAACTACAACTGAAGAACCAACAACAACAACTACAACTGAAGAACCAACAACAACAACTACTGAAGAACCAATAACAACAACAACAACCACTGAAGAACCAACAACAACCACCACTGAAGAGCCAACAACAACAACCACCACTAAAGAGCCAACAACAACGACAGACTCACCAGATACAACTACTGTAGCCCAAACAACAACGGCACCAACCAGTACCGCCGCACCATCGCCTGATTGTGACTGCCAGGCCACATTGCCCAACGGTTGTCCAGCTAATTTCAGCGTCTTCCAGTTATTGCCGCATGAAACGAACTGCTCCAAGTTCTACTATTGCTTACGTGGAGAATTAGTTGAGAAAGATTGTCCATGCGGTACACATTTCAATGCAGAGTTGCAGGTGACTATGTTTCTAAATCAATATTTAGTATTTTCTCACGAATAAAATAGCAAAATTGATCATAATTAACAAAAGAATTTCTTATAGAAGTAATGGTCACAAACGAGCAGAAGGTTTTCCTGATGGTAATTTTTTACTGAGGCACATAGACCTACTTTATCCCTAATTATGTATTAATAGGCGTTAAGATTTAATATTACTTTACCAGTATACGAAATCAGCAATATGCTGCTATTTAACGTTGGTACCTTATGCGAGCCTGGTCCTTCCCCGGTCTACGCGATGAAGCGTTGATCTACCACGTAAAATGATGATGAACTATAGAGCATAATGTATTCAATTTATATATCATATATCGCAGATTTTTTTGTATGAAACTGAAATTACAAACGAACTCAAAGCCCAATCCACGGCAAACGGCTACTGTAATCATTAACATTGGCAAGCAATTTCAAACAAAAAGAGGATACAGTTGCGTTGTCACTTTTGAGGAACAATTAGGATGCATCATAGTTTGTAATTATACTGGCTCTTTTTGTAACTGGAACACAGCAGTGCAAGCACTGTTTGCGAAAGAGATGGTAAGAAAATGGTATCTACCCAGACAGAAACGTAGTCTTACCACCCAGTAAAATAACACCAATTCAGATGATACCCACATCTATTAGAAATAAAATATAAACTTATCTTCTTCATCTTAATTATAAGCCTGTAAAAGTAATTTATTGGACCCTCAATATCTTTTACCTCAGTATAAATAAGAGTAATACGTACTTTTACATCGTAGAAAAATTAGTTTTAATTTCCTATAATCGTCTCTTACACCGGTAACCTACATGATCATTTACTGCCTACGTACCTACCGAATTTCATGGAAATTCGTCCAGTTGTTTTGACGTTAATCGAGAACACACAATTTTTCTACAGATTTATTATACGTATAGATATTGTTACTTAGTTTAAAAATTATTTTACATTTTATTCCTACATTTTTTTTTATAGGATAGTGTAACAAACGAGCACACAGTCCACCTGATGGTAAGTGGTTGCTGTGACCCATAGACATCTACATTTATCTTCAATAAAAAATCAAAATGCACATGCGTCGTCATCCGTGAGGACTAAGAAGGAATGCCTCTATTCCAGTAAAAAGGGTCTCCGGTTCTCTACACTCACCATACGAAACACAGCAGTGTTAAAGCTGCCATTTTACGCTGGTATTCTGTGGGAGCGTGGTCCTTCCCCGGTCGAGCCGACCCATTCGTGCTACAACTATACTACTAATATTATAGCTGCAGCATGGCTCTAGCACGTATAATGTAGGAAGCACATCACAAAGAGAAGACTGAGTTAATAGGAAGCACTGTATATTGTATTATATATCTCATTTTCTCTTAGACTAAATCTATGGACTAAATCCTGTAGACGTATATGTTTGTCTCTTTTCTACCGACTTCAAAAAGGAGACGGTACTCAAATACGACTGTATGTTTTTTTATGTGTTACCTCATAACTTTTTACTGAGTGAACCGATTTCGATGATTCTTTTTTTATTTGAAAACTGGTGCATCACTTGTGGTCGCATATAAATTTGATCAAGGCTTGACTAATAGTTTTTGAGTTATACTTAATAATTTATATTGAAGTCGGTTGTACATATTTTTTAATTTTAAATTATTAGTGTCGCTTTTTGATTCAACAAGTCTCAAATCACAACAATTCTAAAGAAGTGTTTCACTTCAAAAACAATATTAATATTTTGAATTTCATTAATAACAGGTGTGCGAGAAGTGTTTCACTTCAAAAACAATATTAATATTTTGAATTTCATTAATAACAGGTGTGCGACTGGCCCGCAAGCGCTGGTTGTGACCCTAACGCTGATACTGGCAATTGCGGCGGTGAAAACGGCGATGGTGATGGCGATGGCGATGGCAGCGATAACATTGAATTGTTGCCAAACGGTTGCCCCGCTGACTTTGATATCCACAAGCTGTTGCCTCACGAAAGTGACTGCAGTAAATTCTTCTACTGCGTCCGTGGCGAAAAGGTTGAACGCTCGTGTCCTGAGGGCTTGCACTTCAATCCAACAGTTGAGGTGAATCATTGATACTTCTACATCGGCCGGTAAAAATCAAAAGATTGGTTCGGAAACATCTTTCGAAAACGACGGCGTCTATATGACGTCAACTAGTATTTGCTACCTTTATTCAGAAATATTAAATAGGATTCACCCCGGCTTCGCATGGGTTGGATCTGTCATTTTTTTATAGAATGAGGGTGACAAACGAGCACACAGTCCGTCTGATGGTAAGTGGTTGCTGTGGCCCATAGGCATCTACATCTATCTTCGTTTGCGAATTAAAATGCAGATGAGTTGTCATCCATGAGGACTAAAATAGAATGCCTTTTTTCCAGTAAAAAGAGTTTTAATGTGGCGTCATGGAAGTACTATTTTTACTAAATAATTTTTTAGATAAAAGTTAACTTACATCACTCATGGTATTACTCTTTATCTTATCGTGATATTTCGTCGTAATCGGTTCAGATTATCCCGGACAGACAGACAGGAAAAAAACTAAATAGCATGGAAATAATCCCCTAATTGTAGTAAGAGGAGATAGAGTCAAAAACCAGGAGATGAGAAGCAACGTCTTCACTACAAACATTTCAAAATCCCGCTCACATAATTTTTTTAGTTCGGAACTGCACAGCATTATTACGTATGGTTATTTCATTATTGATTTTGTCTGTTCGGGATATATTATAAATTAAAAATATATAGAATTAAAACAATTAGATAGATTAACATCACATATTATATCGAACATCATTATTATCATTATCATATAGCCTCCTCCAAGGAATATCACACAATTTACGGTCCTGAGCCACTTGCACCGATCGACTTCCTGCATGTGTTACCGTCAGCCTATACTTTGTACGAGTTCTAACCTGTACGAAACTGCTATTGGAAAACCTTTCTTCCCCATTGATTGTCGATTCTTCAAGCTATATCGTATAGTAGACAAGTCTATATTTTTTTTCCCCTTTTATCTATTTCGGTTTATTTAAATTATTAATATTTAGTAATATTAGTTTTTATTGTGCCACTGCTGCAAATAGACCTGTCTTCCAGCGGTCTATCGTTTCATCATCATCATCATCATTACAACCTTTCATAAGTCCACTGCTGAACATAGGCCCTGCATCCTGCATCCATCGACTTCCTGCATGTCTTACCAGATCGTCACTCCATCTCGTGGGGGGTCGCCCTACACTTCGCCTACCGGTACGAGGCTGTCACTCAAGAATCTTTCTTCCCCATCGGTTGTCGGTTCTGCGAGGTATATGGCCGGCCCATTGCCACTTCAGCTTACTAATCCGTTGGGCTATGTCGGTTACTCTGGTTCTACTGCGGATATACTCATTTCTAAGTTTATCACGCAGAGAAACCACGAGCATAGCCCTCTCCATAGCTCGCTGAGCGACCTTGAGCTTCCTCATATGGCCAGCAGTGAAGGACCACGTCCCAGATGCGTAAGTCATCACTGGCAACACGCACTGGTTGTACAATTTCGTTTTAAGGTTTTGAGGTATGTCTGACGAGAAGATGTGTCGTAGTTTCCCGAACGCTGCCCAGCCGAGTTGAATCCGTCGATTGACCTCTCGGTCGAAGTTGGACTTTTTGTCCCAGGTACTCATTCTCATGGTTAAACATACACGTCAACAACTTCGAGCTTAGTGCTCCCAACAACTACCGGGATAGGTGTGACATGGACATTAAACATGATCTTTGTTTTGTCCATTTTCATCTTAAGACCTATCCGTTGGGAAACACTATTGAGGTCATTGAGCATAGTGCTTAGGTCCTCCAACGATTCTGCCATAAGGATTCGGCAAATCGAAGGTGAGTGATGTACTCGCCATTGATGTTAATACCGTATCCTTTCCAGTCCAGAAGCTTGAAAACGTCTTCCAATGCAGCGGTGAAGAGTTTCGGGGATATAACGTCACCCTGTCTTACACCTCTCTGCAATTGGATAGGTTTTCTACTCTGGTTCTGTACTCGGATAGCCATCGTAGCTCTACTGTACAAACACTTCAGCACTTCGATATACCGACAATCAACTTGGCACCCCTGAAGGGACTGCAGCACCGCCCAAATTTCGACGGAATCAAAAGCTTTCTCATAGTCCACTTACGCCAGACATTGTGGCAAATGATACTCTTCGGACTTCTGTACAATTTGCCGAAGGGTATGTATGTGGTCTATGGTGCTAAAGCCTTTTCGGAAACCGGCTTGTTCGGAAGGCTGGAAGTCGTCAAGTCTGCGCGCGAGACGATTCGTAATGACGTTCGAAAACAGCACGTAGACGCGGCTCAGAATGGAAATCGGTCTGTAGTTCTTCAAGAGAGCGTTGTCACCTTTCTTGAAGAACAAGACCACCGCACTTCTGCTCCACGCCTCCGGTGTAATGCCACCATGGAGGACGGAATTAAAGAGCCTCTGAAGGACTTCAAGTACCGGTCTTCCACCCGCTTTCAGAAGCTCCGCTGTAATTCCATCCTCGCCTGGGGCCTTGCCGTTTTTAAGGTGCTGGAGAGCCATTCTAATCTCGCTCAGAATGACGTCCGGGATATCTTCGGAATAGTGTCAGATAAGACTCGCTCTTGGATCGTTACTCACACGTGCGTGTGGCTCCGACGATGACGTGTACAGCTGCCCATAGAACCTCTCAATCTCACTCAAAATCTCAGGTGCCCCGGAAACGATGCCGCCACACTCGGTCTTCAGCTTCGACAGCTGGCTCTTTCTGGCAGACAGATCTCTGGCAAAGACTTTGGAGCCTTGGTTCCGCTCGATCGCTTCTTCAATACAAGCTGTATTGAAGTTGCGTAAGTTCCGCCGCATGCATTTGGAGATCTGTCTGTTCAGTTGCCTGTATGCTGTCCAATCTCATGAAGAGTATAGCTTCTTCTCCCGTCTATCAACCATGAGATTAAGAGTGTGATCGGAGAGTATTTGTGTTCTTCTGCGGCGGGTCTTGCAGAACTTAGCTCCGACCACATGGACTGTTTCTACGAGCTTGTCATTCATATCGTCCACTTCATTGCAGTCTTCTAGGCACTGAAAACGGTTTTGTAGCTCGAGCTGAAAGGTTTCGGGACTTTGGAACAGAGCACGAGGGGGACGGAGCGTTGACTTCATTAGACGAGACCTCTGAGAGACATCACTGAACAGTTGTCGTCTGGTCGTCATAATGAAGTCAATCTCATTTTTTGTGGAACCGTCGGGGCTCGACTAGGTCCACTTCCTGTGGGACCACTTCTGGAAGAAAGAGTTCATCATAAAGAGTCCCTCTTTCTCCATGAAGTCGGCCAGCTGCTGGCCCCTTGGGTTCCGTTGCCCTATTCCAAATTTCCCTACTTTGAGCTCACCGTTCTCTCTTGTGCCTAGTTTTGCATTGAAGTCTCCCATTAACACCGTATATTGGGTTTTGGAGGAATGCATGGATCTAGAGATATCCTCATACATTTCCTCCACTTCCTCATCGGGGTGTGCCGAGGTTGGTGCGTAAACCTGTATGACCTTCAGCGAATACCATTTGGTGATTCTGAGTATAAGGTACGTAACCCTCGTCGACACACTCACAATCTTTAAATTATTGTTATATTAGGTCTACCGTTTAAATTTTCGAAACAACATTATATTAATTTTTAGGTATGCGACTGGCCTGAGGCCGCAGCATGTGAAAATGGCGGAGGAAGTGGCGATGGAAACGGCAACAAGTGCGAAAATAGCTGCAACGTATCGCCTTGGCCTCACGAAAGGGACTGCGACAAGTTCTGGAGGTGTGACGGCGAAAAGCCCATCTTAACTGTTTGCTCCGAAGGTTTACATTTCAACGCCGAGACCTACACTTGCGATTTTATCTGTAACGCAAATTGCCAGCGAAGCAACATAGAGGCTACTTCCTTGAACACGGGGTTGAAGTTTTTCATACCGTGGGAAAAGGTTGATCGTAACTTGGTCGGTGAATACCTTACCGACTACCAAAATGTTGCCACATAGAATATTTGTTGTGATTTATATATTTGGATCGAAAATGTTTAGCCTAATAAATTGATTTATTTTTAAATATTTATTGTTGTTTTTACTATTACTATCTACCTATTTCTATGTTACCTATTTCTAGGATCAAATGTCTCGTAGGTCTAGTGCTCATAAACGTAGTTGTTGATCATGAGGTCCAGGGTTCGAATCCCGGGCCGAACGAAAATCAGTATTCGGGTTTTTCTGTTAAGTAATTCACAGCAGCAGCCTGGAGTCATAGTTGGCGATGTTTTCACCCCGTGCCTGTAATTTATTACGTAATTTTTTTTAATTTATTTAAAAAAAGATCTTCTTACAATTGCTACAATTTAACATACTAAATCTAAATGTATAATAACGTCTTATACTAATTGCACAATTACTTACAGGTTAACACCGCAAAACCATAATTAAAATCTTAATTTACATATTATGTTAAGAAAAAAAAAGTTAAAACATCTTAAAACAAAACAACAAAACAACCAGTGATTTAGATAGTGTTATAAACATACAAAAAAAAATAACTTAATTTGTAATTCTACAAGTACTTGTGAAACTTGTACGAGGAGACAAAATTTATATCTGTCCGGCTACTGACCCCATTATAAAGTTTACTTAACCTAACTACAGGATTTATGTTAATTCATTTTATTGTTTTTTATTTTTTTGTAAAATATTCATCAGTCTACGACGGACGAATGGGCGGACGGACGGACGGACGGACGGACGGACGGACGGAGGGATAGACGTACGGACAGCGGAGGCTTATTGATAGGGTCCCGTTGCTTACCCTTCGAGTACGGAACCCTAAAATAATATATTTCTAGATTAGCTCGAAACTTAGTTTTATGTGACGATATATTATGGCGTCCATTAAACACATACCATGAACGATTTTCTTTCATAAGAATAGTAGTAACGCTATTCATATCATAAATAAGATCCTTTTTACTGGAAGAGAGGCATACGTAGTAAAGCCATTTTGCAGCTATATTAGTAGTATAGTTGTAGCACGAATGGGTCGGCTCGACCGGGGTAGGACCACACTCTCACAGAATACCAGCGTAAAATAGCAGCTTAACACTGCTTTGTTTCGTATGGTGAGTGTAGAGAACCGGAGACCCTCGTCCTCACGGTCCAACGCATCTGCATTTTGATTTGCAAACGAGGATAAAAGTAGATGTCTATGGGCCATAGCAACCCCTTACCATCATGGACTGTGTGCTCGTTTGTCACCTCTCATCATTTTTAACATCAAAATTCCCGGAGTGAAAACACTTGAACTAACTTTATGCTACTCTTACTGACACTGTATTAGGTCCATAAACGTCACAAATGTTTTTCGGGGCTTTTTTACTTTTTACTTTTATTTTCCTTAAGGTCCTATATGATATTCAAACCAGCCAGATACACACAGTAGGTACAAAAAGATTTTTCTTCAATTTTATACAAAAAACATACGAAGAAAATTTTGTACAAATAAATATTGTATTAAATGAATAAATAACCTTTAAATTGTTTCGGATGATTGTATGTCAATGCGCAATTTATTTAGAAAATCTTAGTGAAAGGATAACTTTTTGACGGCTCCGTAGCGCAATAGCTTAGTAATGATTTACAGTGTTAGGAGCTTCAAATCCCGCACGGAACAAGTATTTGTATGGTCTACAAATAATTGTTCCGGGTCTGGATGTTTGTCCTTCTGAAATTTATGTAGGTAAGTAACTTCAAAAATAAACTTATTCATAAAAGGGCTACAAGTTATAAAACTATTTTAATTATAAAATTGAAGTGACAACCTTACAGTCCATGGATACTTGCACACAATTTTAAACAAGACGCGTTGCCACCTCTGAGAACTGAGATGGTAGTCCTTATATACAACCTGTAATTGTACCTGATATCTATATTCTTCACACCGAAACAAGCAGTTTCTATGAAAGAGATACTTACCCAGACAGACAGACGAACAATCAGAAATTATACTATTAATTATATAATTATATATTATTATATAGTGGTAGAGTCATGCTGCAGATATATTAGTAGTATAGTTGTAGCACGAATGGGTCGGCTCCACCGGGGGAGGACCACGCTCTCGCAGAATACCAGTGTAAAATGGCAGCTGACACTGCTGTGTTTCGTATGGTGAGTGTAGAGAACCGGAGACACATTTTATTGAAAAAGAGGCATTCCATCTAAGTCCTCACGGGTGACGACGCATCTGTATTTTGATTCTTTATTGAGGGTAAATGTAGATATCTATAGGTCACAGCTACCACTTACCATAAGGTGGACTTCCTGGTATATAGTGTATTATCTATGAGGTGGACTGTGTGCTCGTTTGTCAGCCTATCATATAAAAAAAGAGCCATATCACCTAAAAAGGTTATTTATTACGGTTTTATGACATTTCGTTTGTTAGCTTATAGTGTTTGAATGTCAGCAGTGATCGCTAGTTTAAAATCTGCGTGTCTCGACACCCAACTCTCATAATATTTGAGATGATTTTGACACATTAAAAAATTTCGAATAGTCGAACTAGCAATTTGGTTTTTCTATATTGATTCTAGGAGTTATTCACACAATGAAGAAGGAAAGAATTTGTTCTTTATACCTATTTTGTGTAGTCATAGTTTTATTGACACAAAAAGAAAATTTAATTTTTCCTTTTTTAATTCAATATCTTTTATAAAAATATCATCATACTGCCATCTAGTATAATTTTACTGTACCTGGAACTTACTTACTGCTTTTCTTCTTTTCGTAGGCAATATATTTTTCAAAAGATGACGTGGCATTGAAAATTAATTTAAATTATGTACTCTAATGCTATTATAATAACTCAGAACAATCATCAGTTAATGTTCTGAGGCTGTAAACATAAAATAACAGTGTCAATTCAAATATCAACGCATTTGTAACCAGTATCAGCAGAGATATTGAATGAAGTTTTAACTACTCGTCAACAGATGTCGCTATTTTATTGCTTCCAAATAAAACGTACGTATTAAAAAAAGTTGTAATTAAAATATATTGCTAGCGTATATATTAAACTATTTCTCTCTCATAGATTTACTTTAATAAAACCAAAAATGTGTTGTAAAAAACAGGACTATTCAATAATTTACTGTCAATAGTTTGATCGCGGTGCTGTGGCAGCGTACAAAACCCCTTCATCCCGTGGGTTTCGTAAGAGGCGACAGAAGGAAACTGAAACAGGAGACAACTCGAAATAATATAACTGCGGTTGCCAACCCCCTGGCGAAGCAAGCGTAGCAACTATGGCAAATATCTTCACATATGAGGCAATCTATGCGGAGGCCTATGTTCGGCAGTATATTTTTTATAGGATAAGGTGACAAACGAGCGCACAGTCCATCTCATGGTAAGTGGTTGCTGCGGCCCATAGACATCTACATCTATCCTCTATTACAAATCAAAATGCAGATGTGTTGTCACCCGTGAGGACTAAGATGGAATGCCTCATTTCCAGTAAAAGAGACTCCGGTTCTCTACACTCACCATACGAAACACAACAGCGCTAAGCTGCTATTTTACGCTGGTATTCTGTGTGAGTATGGTACTTCCCCGGTCGAGCCACAACTACACTTTTTTTATAGGATAGGGTGACAAACGAGCACACAGTCCACTTGATAGTAAGTGGTTGCTGTGGCCCATAGACATCCACATCTATCCTCGCTTGCGAATCAAAATGCAGATGCGTTGTCACCCACGACGTCTAAGATGGAATGCCTCTTTTCTAGTAAAAAGGATCTCCGGTTCTCTACACTCATCATACGAAACACAGCAAGTGTTAAACTACTATTTAACGCTGGTATTCTGTGAGAGCGTGGTCCTTCCCCGGTCGAGTCGACCCATTCGTGCTACAACCATACTACTAATATAGCTGCAGCATGGCTTAAAAATATACTACTATTATTCTATTTTCTATTATATTCTATTACTAAAATTATATGGTTATTATGGTTAACAATATACTATGGTTGTAATGATGATGATGATGATGATGATTAAATAGTTTGCTCTAGCTTAGGGCCCATCCGATAAATCAGTAATTTAATATGATTTTTTTTCAAAATCCAAGCCAATTTGAGTTATAACCTGACCGTTTCGCTGAGATTATATTTATAATAATTGATAAAAAAATATACTCAACGACTATTCCAAACACAGGTACATAAGAAAATCATTTCATATTTCTAATGTTTTACAAATTTTCCAGGCTAATGCAACATGCATCTTCTAGAAACAAGTTTAGTACCACTTTTTTGGAAGAAAAAAGAAAGAGCTATTTATTTGATATACACATTCCAAAAAAATATACAAAGCAAGGGGCAAAAATAAGCATGTACCTTGTCTAAAAGTACTCAGTTTTTAAAACGCTGGCAACGCATTTGCAACTCCCTGGTGTTGCAGTTGGTCATGGACGACTGTCGTCACTTACCATCAGGTGAGCAGCATGCTCGTTTGCTTTTGTCCCCCTCTTCTATAAAAAAATATATTATGAGTAAGATGTAATAAAGATGCTGGTTATAGTTTTGGCGGGAACATGACCGGCGGCGGTTTGCTGCTCCTGTATTATTGTTTAAATACTGATTTGAAGTAGATTTTGATGTGTAAAAGTGGTGCGACTTTTTGTATTAAATGTCTGTGCATGTGAAATATTAGCGGAAACGATGAAAGAACTTGACTCTGTGCTTGAACTAGAACTCAGAGAGTGATGTGAACCTCAAGGTTGTGAGATACTACCGTCATCGACTTTCTATGGGCTGAAGTTGCCCTAAAAATCTTCCAAAAAATTCACAATATATTGTGAAGTAGTTTTTAATTAAATTATTATAAATAATAATTTCTTAATGCACTCGACACTGGCAAAAGTAAAACAATAAGAGTCCATTGGCAAAGAAGAAAAGGCTAATGGTTTTCTGAACGAAGAAGTAACATCTGTTTTAATT